TTTATGCTCTAATTCTACTAGTAAGTGACAAGTCTTTCCAAAAATCAGTCTGTAAGGAGTCATTCCAATAGGAGTTTTATAAGCAGTCCTATAAGCCCATAATGCGTTATCCAGTCTAGTTGACCAATCAACTCTACTAGGGTTTAAGTATTTGTTTAATCTCACTATTAGAAACTTTAGCTAACCAACTGGTTTGCGGATGATAGGCAGTAGAGATTATATGAATAATATTAAACTTTTCTGCCAATCTTTGAATGTATTTATTCCTAAAATGGGAGCCTCCGTTAGTGATAATCATTATAGGCATTTTGTATCTACTGAAAATATTTTTCATTAAAAACCTTGAAACACTTTTAGCATCACAACAAGGTAAAGTTTGTGCTTCAATCCACTTAGAAACGTAGTCTACTGCAATTAATATATATAAGTTTCTGAATGAAGAAATAAATGGTCCCATGAAATCTAATCCCCAAACATCAAAAATCTCAAAAATTCATCTTGTAAAATTTAAAAAGAAATTTTATTAATCCCAAAATATCCTCCAAATTCAGAATCATGACATTTCTGAATGATTAGCTCAGTTTCTTCACAAGGTACACATCTCCTCATAATAAGTTCCTTACATTGTTTATATAAATAAGGCTCATCCCAAAAATATGTTTTAGCGTCATGAATTAATTTTCTTTGTTGTTACAATGTCAGCATAGGTGGCAAAATATCACTTACAATATAGTTAACAATATCGGCATACCATGGTATTTTCCACTCATTAATATTATAAAGTTGTTCATCAGTTTGTCTGTAATTTCATTGTCAGTGTCAGATAATTCATAGTTTTCTAATCGTGACAAATGATCAGCAATTTGATTATCAGTTCCCTTTCTATCTATAACCACAAGATCAAATTTTTGCATGAAAAGTATCAATCTAATTAACCTTAGTTTGATATCCTTCTTTTGCATTATATATTTAATAGAAGAGTGATCAGTGTGCACAGCACATTTAGCTCCAATTAAATAAGATCTAAATTTGTCTAAAGCATACACAATGGCCAGTAACTCTTTTTCAGTAACAGTATAATTAATTTGTGCATCATTAAGAGTTTTACTAGCGTAGTATATAACTTT